GTTTCTGACTCTCATCCTGCTCTGCGTGGACAAGGTCATGAAACTGCGGCCTGACGAACCCAAGTATTTGGTGGGCTGAAGCAGGGCAAGCCAGCGAGCAGCAGCACCCGGGAGCAGCGAGGTGCAGACAGACTGACAAAGCATTTCAATCGCTTCCTAAGAAACAAAAAAGAAAGGGAACGTACCTTCAGCCAAAAAAGGCCAGATCTAAGCAGGGCACCTGCTGGGCCTTCATCCTCCCCAGCAGGTCAGAGCTGCCAGCCAAGGTGCTGAGCAGGCAAGTCCCTGCAAGCCACCACGTATGTCCCACAGTGCACAGAAAACCTTTCCCCCGAGCCCTTTCGTGCTTGCTGTGACTGCGCCAGCAGCTGTGAGACGCTGAAGGACCAGTTACCAGTTTATAGCACACTGCCTTAAGACAACCCGGTATATAACCTTTCACTTTGAAACAGAAAGTGGGCAAATAAGGCTATATTCTGGAGGGTCGCTGTTACCAGATCCCTTACTAAGCTACAGGCCAGGATGCATCAGTAAGCGGATGTAACTCATTGATTATACCGAGTCCTTTTCACTCACTAACCTGCAGTATTTTAAAGTCTGTTAACTGATACCAGTGAAAACTCTGTTATGGAAACTTAAGGATTGTTTGGGCTGGTTTAAAATTAAAACTAGTTTTTCCAGTGCAGTTTATATGTGAACTGTTTTTATTTATTCAGCTTGCACCTGCCCGATTAACTAAGCCAAGCTGAACTGTGGCAAGCAGGTTTAAACCAGCTTATCCAATTCATGCACAGAACTGTTCCTATTTATGCAAGATGATAATAAACACTCTTATTGATGGAAAGATTCTCACTGACTGGTTTGTATTGATAAAGCTTATATTGGCAAGGAATTACCCAACCCAAATTGTTAGAAACATGATTCTAACAAGAAATATTCACGCAGGAGGGTCTGCCTCATGGCAGTCAAACTGTCTGGTTTGGGACAGTTGCACCAGCTTGATTTCTATCTATTATTAAAACAATGAATCAGTGTTAAACCCATCTAGACATACACAGGATTAGCAAACCTGCTAGAGACCAACTGAAATGAAACATTAAAAGTTACTCTTAAACCAAAGAAAGCTCCACTGGAGATTTTTATCTATTAAGTATCATTAAAGCCTCCCTTCAGCTTACCAATGCATAACTTTTCCAGTTAGAAAAGATACAAATCAGTTTAAGACTCTTCATATTGATTCTGGCTCAACCAGACACTTGATCAGGACAACGCTGTGCCACTTCACAGTGATGGGCAGTCGTCCCTTGTCAACTATCCACCATCAACAGGAACGGGTACAAGTTGGACACTGAGGAAAAGACATCCTTCCCTATCATTAGTATCACTTAACACAAAAAGTCTGCTGGGCTAAAATGCTGAGCAGAGACCCTAGTGTCAGGAAAGAAAGTTTTGAAAGGGAAGGGCTTAATTCTTTTGTGGCTTTTTTACTGTGTTTTGTTTAGTTGTTTTGGTTTGGTTTTTTTTTTTTTTCTTTTTACATGCGCCATACTACTAGTAGTAAACAATAACAAAATATTGCTCAATTAAAAAAAAATCTCGACATTTCAACATACAACAATTAAAACAAAAGTAATTTTCACAAGACAAATCTCCACGTTGGACCAGCCAACTACTTCCTTCCACAAAAAAAGAAAAAAAAACCAACCTTGTATACAGAAGTGAAGGACTCCACCTCTTATCGTTTGTGTTGACTGAAAGAACAGTGAGTTGACAGTCAATAATCACTGATGGACATGTGATGGCAATCACTGATGGATAACAAATCTTCTAGCTACATATATCATTTTTTTCCTGATTCATTAGTTTTAATAGTGGAAAATGTGCGTTGGCCTGAAAGCAATGTGATAGATACCGTGAAAAAAATCTCCATGCATTGCCTGAGTGTCTACCTTCTGCAGACCTCTTCCTACAGTTCTCCAGTCTTACGGAGATTGTTCTCCTGGTTGGGAACACAGAAGTGCCTGCTGGATATGGCACTGGTTTTCATCTTTGAGGGGATATGTTTCATAGCTTTCGCATTTCCTTGGCTAAGGTTACGAGTGCATGGATGCAGCCAGACACAGAAATAAATCTATTCCAGTCTAAAGAGATATAAGCACATGACACAAGCTCTAAACGTCCTACAGCCCAGCACTACACCCGCAAACTAGCTTCATAATAATTCTGCAGGGCTTCCTAAAGCCTGCCTTTAAAAGCACAGCTTGTTTGTTTTTCACACTCTCCAAAATAGTCTGCTGTGTGCAGTTACCTTCAAGGGATGTAGTAGACTTAAACCTCAAGTTTTGCTTCTCGCAGCTTTTGTTGAGGATTCCCAGCTCAAACAAACTGGGGAAAAAAGGGAAAACCCCGTAGATTTTCATATACGAGATCCCAAGGATTTTGTATACCTATGCTCAAGGGTGACACCCAAGTCTCAACAAAATCAGGTATACAAATGGAATACCTTGCAGATAATTTCTGCTGTGAAATGTATACTTCTTCTAGACCAGTGACCTGTAAACCTCTGATCTCGTATAACAGTTTTGTTTCTTTACTGCATCACCTGCTTTGACATCTGACATTGCCAGGTTTGATCTATAGCCTCTTCTTTTCAAGTCATTTGACTTCCTGTGAAGTGCATTGGGTCACTTAGAAAAATGTAGTCCCATAATGAATTTAATGAACACACTACTACTCCCAGTGTGTTCTGGGTTCCCTAAACAAAGTGGCAGTATCCCGAAAGCTCAAAAGGCTACCAACATCTTATCTGTTCCTATGCAATATAGGATAAGATACATAACAATAAAAGGTTATAACAATAAAATATTATTTTAAAGAGACCCTCTGAGGTTCACGCTATGTGTTGTACTGATTTAGGCATGGTGGGCAATCACAAGTACAATGCAAAGCAACACACCGTGCAAAAGGAGGAGAAAAGCCCTAACAGAACTGTCAGTGTTGCATGGGCTTGTCAATAGTTAAAGAAGTTGCATCCAAAAGACTTGAGAAATTGATACAAAGACAAAAAAGTAGTAGGCAGAAATGGATTATACATACTTAATTTACAGTAAATATAATCTAAAGATTATCTGTGGTCTGCTGCTACATTTCCTGGAATATTTTTAGCTCGGGAACAAGTAGCACAGCTTGTGGGTTATAACAGCTATTTTAAGACCAATCAAGTCACAGTAAGAAGGCTGTGGTCTGGTTTTGATGCACAAATTAAAGATGACTCTATAGAACAATGCCTTATGATGTGGTACACAAGCAATGTCATAGACTGGTGTAGTCATTTATTGTGTATTATCTCATGTTCCTAATAATATCACTGACATAATAATACGTCTAATAGTAGATTCCCAACTAGTGCAATGCTGCCCAAGTCCTGTTGACTTCAAAGGAGCTACACATACATCAAGCACATGCCTTGTTTTGTTGTTTGGGGTTTTTTTCATTGTAATTCAGGAAGCCCGTCATTTTTGTTCCCACAGGAAACCTTGGAAGCAAAACATAACTCCCGATTTATCAGCGTGCATAAATCATTTCACCTGTGTCAAACCTTGGTGCCCCTTCAGACTGCTACATACAATGTCATGCTGTAGCACTGAGCTGGTTTAGGCTCTCACGCATCTCAAAGCATGTAAAAAATAAGTTGATAGCTCATATCACCTATTAAGCAGCAAACTACCCTCTCAGAAGGATGACGGAAATGTTAACGCTCCGGTCATTTATAGTACATTATCCAGTCAAATTCTATGTCCTTGGACCAAAAAGTTCCTTGCTGGAATGAGATGGAGAAGAAATCTGTTCCAACTCATATGATCTAGTACAAAGAAAAGCAAAAAATGGTTGAAACGTGGATGGCTGAACAAAAGTACACATGACCGAAAAACATGAGTTTGAAGCCTGACATTGCTGATCAAGTCAGAACACTTCTTCATATTTTCTGGACAAAGTTTCTGAATTTCAGACATTAAAGTATGCAGTGCCTGGAAAAGAGAGAGACACGCAGATGGCACCTGGGAAAACTGCTGGTCTACAAGTCTCCTGACAGACAAACAGAGCAGTAGGGAACGCGTAACCGATCAGCACTTCTAATATCAAAAAACATTAGTAGCAGCATAGCATTCCAGGGTAACTACTTAATTTGCTTGGAGATAATATCAATCACATCTGACTAGTGATTTTTTAAATTCTTAATTCAAGACTAAATGGATTGGTACTTGATGCGTGACTCTTCATCTTTTTAGATACCATTGCTCTGGTAATGACTCGCATTACTCACTGCCTCTATCCTTGGGGTTTTAGTGAATGAGCTACATATTAAGCAATTGCACTTTACAATGATTACACTTTGCAAATTCACTAGAGGGATGAATACTGGCAAGCACCAGAGCTTCCTGCTTGCATGAAACACAGAGAAAAGACAGAGGTTAAATTCATAAGAAAAGGTGCTCTGTACTGGGACTTCGTAGGAATTTTGATAAAGCCATTACAAAAACTAGGATTTCAGAAAATTATTGTAATTAATTACAGCCAAAGAATGAAATATAGACATTCTTGGGAAGCAACCACTCTCTCTCATTCTTACGCTCCAGATCCCACTTATTTTATGGTATCAGTAGTACCAGCATCTGTTGTGGAATTCAAACCTCGCTTCAGGTTTCTGTCCCAGAATCAAACATGCACTTTTCAAAGAGCTTATTTCCAACTCCTATTTCATAATAACCTTCCAGAAATAAACACGGGGTAAACAATGCAGTATTGTCTCCCAGGACTGGTGATCCCCCAGGAGCGCTGTTCCCCAGGGCTCAGTTTTGG